CCTCCTAGGAAGCCATTGGCCCCTGATAGTTGACCCAGATTTGGTTCTGATAGGTCAGTTTCTATGCTGATCAGTGTCAAAAGCTATGCCTTCTAGGCAGCCATTGGCTCCTCACACTTCACCCAGATTTGGTTCTGATTGGTTGGTTTCAATGCTAGTCAGTGTTTCTGGGCCTATCAATGGGGCCTGATCAGAAAGGTGGGGTTGATCAGTAGACCCAGTGTAGAGGCCTGGAGAAGAAATGGAGGTGCGGCTGCTGGCCCTGCCTGGAGGGAAAGAGAGAGGAAAGTGCTGATCAACAACTGCCACACAGGCTAGGGATCAGACCCTGCTTCCCTCTTCAGGCCTGTTTCCGGGCCTGATTCACAGCCCTCTCAGCAGTCAGTGCTGGGCCATCAAGCCTGCAGCTGCAGCAGTCAGTGCTGGGTTGCTATGGCTGACTGCAGGACTGACTTCCAGTTGGTCGAGCCTCTAGTCATGATGAACTCAGGGTTTTTATATATTAGGATATTCTCAGTACATGTCTTTCATATCTTTGGTTTAGTTTATTCCTAGGTATTTTATTCTTTTGGACATAATTGTGAATGGAATTGTTTCCTTAGTTTCTCTTTCTCATAGTTCATTAAAATGTATAAAAATGGAATTGCCAAGAGCAGTTTGGCTCAGTGGATAGAGTGTCGGTCTATGGGCAGAAAGGTCCCAGGTTCAATTCCAGTCAAGGGCATGTACCTTGATTGCAGGCACATCCTCAGTAGGGGTGTGCATGAGGCAGCTGATGGATGTTTCTAACTCTATCTCTCTCCCTTCCTCTCTGTAAAAAAATCAATAAAATATATTTTAAAAAATGCAACTGATATTCAGATGCTTATTTCGTATCTTGCTACTTAATTCATTTATCAATTCCAGTAATTTTTTGGTAGAATCTTTAGGGTTATGTAACATATGGTATCATTGTCATCAGCAAATAATGACAGGTTTACTTCTCTGTTTCTAATTTGAGTGCCTTTATTTCTTCTTTTCTGATTGCTATGGCTAGAACTTCCAGTGTTACATATATAAAACCCTAATATGCAAATAGACCGAACAGTGAAACAACTGAACTGAAAAACTACGATGTGTGCTGACCACCAGTGGGCATGCATGGAACATGGCAGGTGTTAGCAGCAGAGGGCAAAGGATGAAATATGGTGGGTATCGGCTGTGGTGGAATAGTAGAGTAAGTGAGCACGGGCACCAGACCAAGGCGAGGTACCAGATGTTGTTATCGGGACGAGCCTCTGGTGGTTACTGAAAACTTTTTGCTCCTGCACTCTACAGTCCTGCCCAGCATTTGCATCTGCTGCTGGCAGCAGCCCTGCTTGCACCTGCTGCTGGCAGTGGAGCCACCATTCACAGCCACTGCCAGCACCTGGTGCCAGTCCTGATCGCTTGGCATCTTCAGCAGGTGCAAGTGTCAACTGCTGTCCCTGATCACCACAGGGCTTCTCCACCTACCCCTGCTTCTGAGGAGCAATCAGGCAGCAGCTGCCACTCTCACCCACTAATGATGCTGGCCCCACTCACACCTGCTGCTGGCAACGGCCGCAATCGTTCCACGTTGTCAGCAGGTGCAAGCAGGGCTGGCACTGGCAACGAGGAGGAGCAGTAGGAGCAGTAGGAGCAGTAGGAGCAGCAGGAGCAGCAGCAGTGGGAGTGCGGCTGCTAGCAAACTTGGGACTGGGGTCCATGGCAGGAGGGGCAGGCTGGGGGCGGGAAAGATGGGCCAAGACCCACCCCAGTGCCCAATGTAGCATTGTGGTCCACAGTTCAAGATGCACGAATTTGTGCACTGGGCCACTAGAATATAATAGAATAAGAGTGGTAAAAGTGGGCATCCCTGTCTTGTTCTCAATCTTAAGAGAAATGCTTGTAGTTTTTGCCCATTAAGTATGATGTTGGCTGTGGGTTGTCAATATGACCTTTATTACATTGAGGTATGTTTCTCTGTTGCAACCTGGCTGGGAGTTTTTAATTTCATCAAATGCTTTTTTTGCATCTATTAATATGGTTATGTGTTTTTTACCATTCATTCATGTTTATGTAGTGTACTATGTCTATTGATTTAGATATTATACCAATCTTGCATCCACAAAATAAATCTCATTTTATCCCATGGTGTAAGATCTTTTTAATGTATTGCTGGATCAATTTTGTTGAGGATATTAGCATATATGTTCATCAGAGATATTGGCCTATAATTTTTTTTCTTTGTAGTGTCTTTATCTGGTTTTGGAATTAAGATAATGTTGGTCTCTTAAGTGAGCTAGAATTCTATTGTCCTCTTGAATATTTTGGAATAGTCTAAGAATAGGTGTTAGTTCTTCTTTGAATGTCTGGTAAAATTCAGTTGTGAAGCCACTTGTTCCAAGACTTTTGTTTGTTGGAAGTGCTTCGATTTCACTAGTTGTAATATGTCTATTCACATTCTCTGATTCTTTCTGATTCAGTTTTGGGAGATTGTAGTTCTAAGAATTTATTCATTTCTTCCAGATCGTCCAATTTCTTGGTATATAATTATTAGTAATATTTTCTAACAACCTTTTATATTTCTTTGGTGTTACTTCTCCTCTTTCATTTCTGATTTTACATATTTGGGTACTCTTTCTTTTTTTCTTGACGAATCTGGTTAAAGGTTTGTTAATCTTTATCTTTTCAAAGAACCAGTTCTTGGTTTCACTAATCTTTTGTACTGTTATTTATTTCCTTTATTCTACTCATGTTGGGCTTTGTTTGCTCTTTTTCTAGTTCCTTCTATTATAAAGTTAAATTGTTTATTTGAGATTTTTCTTATTTCTTAGGTAAGGCTATAATGCTATAAACCTCTTGCTTAGGGTTACTTTCATTGTGTACCCTAGATTTTGGTTGTTGTGTTCTCATTTTCATTTGTTTCAAGGTATCTTCTTATTTCTTCCTAGATTTCCCCATTAACCACTATTCATTGTTGAGTAACATGTTCATTAGCCTCCCTGTGTTTGTGTGTTTTTCTTGTGCTTGATTTCTAGTTTCATTCCATTATGGTCCGAGAATATACTGAGATACCCCCCTGCAGACAAAACAAACAAACAAACAAAAAAAAAAACGCACAAAAAATAAGCAAATCCAAAACAAAAAGCTAGTCCCTGTGCTAAAGTTTCCCAGACATTATCCTGAAATCTCCAAAGTGACCTAATCTATTCACCTGGGTCCTTAAAAGCAGAGGACATTTCCCAGTTATATTCAGACAGAGATGTGACACTAGAAGAACAGTAAGAGATGAACTACTGCTGGCTTTGAAGATGGAGGAAGGGGGCCAAGATCCAATGAATGTGCGAGGTCTCTAGAAGCTGGAAAAGGAATGTACCCCTGTTTGATAAACATTGATTTTAGGCAAGTGAGATACATGTCAGACTTCTGACCCACACAACTCTAAGATAATAAATTTGTGTTTAAACCATTTAATTTGTGGACATTTGTTAGAGTAACAATAGAAAACTATCAGTGGGGTAATCTAGTCCAAAATGTTTTTTTGTGTTTTTTTTTTGACAGATCAGAAGACTAAAATCCTCAAAGGCACACATTTAGGTAGTGGCAATGCACTTTTGGGTGTGAAGAAAACCTAATTCCCATCTATTCTTAAACCATGGTCTGATTGATGTCAGGGTGAAGGCAGAAAGCTAGGACTTTCAGTATATGAAGGGAAATAGGTGACACCACTTTTCTGTATATTAAATGTGTGATATTACATACTAATACCACAGTTGCTCATCTCTAGGTTGATTTTGCTAAATTATTACTATATGCTGCAGAAAAACTTTTACTGCATATCCTCAAAAGTATATAAATTATTTTTTATAAAACTATGCATGCTAACACGTACATTCATTTATAGATACAAAGTGATCTTTGCATTGTCTTCTGTGCCCAGATTGGTACTGGGTACACCATACACTTTTCTAGGAATCCAGATCCATGAAGGAAATGAAGTATGAATCAAAAATACATTGGAATTTTTAAAATAAGAAATTTCACCTCCATGAGTTCAGTCAAGTACTTATCAAGCACCTACTGTGTACCAGGGAATCTTTAAGGTACTTTGATAGAAACAATAGACCTGAAACTTATATTTTATTGGGGGAATCAGATGGTAAACAACAGTAATAAATAAATTAATGCTAAATATTGTTAAATGCTCTTAACAAAAATAAAGGAATGTAAAGGCACATTTTGACTAGTCTTAAAAGATTTAGAAAACTTTTATGTAAAGACTAGATGCCTGGTGCATGAAATTCATGCATTGAGGTCCCTCAGCCTGGCCTGCACCCCCTCAGGGGATGTCCAACTGCCATGTTAGGCCCGATCCCTAAACTGGCAGTCAGACATCCCTCTCACAATCCAGGACGGCTGACTCTTAACCACTAGCCTGCCTGCCTGCCTAATTGCCCCTAATCACCTCTGTGTCCCCAAGTGCCCTCCCCTGTTGGCCTGATTGCCCCCAACTGCCCTCCCCTGCCAGCCTGGTTAATCCAACTGCTCTCCCCTGCAGGCCTGATTGCCCCCTAACTGGCCTTCCCTGCTGGCCTGATCTCACCCCTAACTGCCTGGTCTCCCACAAGCCTGATCACTGCTAACTGCTTGCTTCCCTGCTAGCCTGATCATCCCTAACCTGGTCTAATTAGCATACTACCCTTTTATTAGTATAGATTTTACTTAATAAAAAGTACATTTAGTTTTATTTATTCAGTTTAATTGAAACTTTTTAATAATCAGACAAAAAAGAAAATGGGGAAAATGCCTTTTATGTTCCACTTCTAAAATCAGCAATAACTATCTTTAGTGTTCAATAAAAGACAACTAACTTTATATATAGGGTGACATAGAAGACATAAAAAATTTAATTACTACGGAATTTAAGGAAAAATTAAAACTTAAATAATCAGTTTTATATAATTTGTTAACACAGTAAGACAATGTTTAAAACTCACTTTGAAGTGTCTCAAGTTCAGCTCTAGTCAATTCATCTTCCTTTTCCTTCAATCTTGTTTCTTTATATTTAGCATAAAACTGTCCAGCATCCTTAAAAAAGTTACAAGTTAACATAAGAATCAGTTTGCTTTGATATTATTTTCCACATAACTTTATTTTAAAGCAGTATATTCCTTTTTGTTTTGTTAGTTCTCACCAAAGGATATTTTCTTCATTGATTTTGTTGTTGTTGAGAGAGTGAAAGAGAGAAAAAGAGAGAGATATCGATGTGAGAGAGACATATCAATTGATTGCCTCCACAAGCCCCTAGGGGGGCTTGGGATCAAACCTGCAATCCAGGTACATGCCCTTGACTGGAATCAAACCCACGACCCTTCAGTGTGCAGGCCGATGTAAGTATGAGCAATACTGGTTAGGGCTAAAACAGTATATTCTTCAACAACGCATCTTCCTTCGTGTTTATGCTTTCAAATTTTATGATACACAGAAGAAACTAAATGAACACTTTTCTACAATTTTACTGTCTTAGAGAGCTAATTAAAGCCAGACATTGCATGAGCATACATTTAAATATTTTCTCTCAGGTACGGAAAGGAAGTATCCTCTTCCTGTTTTCTTCCATTGTGCATTTTTTTCAATATAGTGCTATCACATGACTAGAGAGCAGAAAAAAGACACTTGTTTAATGGAATTAAATTATTTTTATAGTAAATTGTATTATTATTTTTTAAAATATATTTTTATTGATTTTTTACAGAGAGGAAGGAAGAGGGATAGAGAGTCAGAAGCATCGATGAGAGAGAAACATTAATCAGCTGCCTCCTGCACACCCCCTATTGGGTATGTGCCCGCAACCAAGGTACATGCCCTTGTCCGGTACGAACCTGGGACCCTTGAGTCCGCAGGCTGACTCTCTATCCACTGAGCCAAACTGGTTAGGGCTGAATTGTATTATTGTACTAACATTATTTTCATATTAGTCCTTTAATATTTTTAAGTTATTATATGCAAATCTGATTATGAAACTTATATGACCATGAAGATACAAGTGAAAGTTGTCATTCCTCCTACTAAACTAAGATATCAGTTCCTATTGTGGAGGGTTGAAGATTGAAAACACATGCTGTAAATAAATGCTTAGGTGTCAAGATAATAGTGGCTAAAGTGTAAAGGACTGGTACGTACCTTGTTTCCCCGAAAATAAGACATCCTCCGAAAATAAGACCTACTTACAGGTTTCCTCCTGAGTGAAATATAGGGCATCCTCCAAAAATAAGCCCCCCTCCCCCAGACTTTGTCTCAGAATGCTATTGCTAAATATGAGAGATTTGGTCCACTGATTCTGAAAGAAATGGAGTCACAAGAAATTTACCAGGAAATTCAGGAAATGGATTGTTATGATGATGTTCAGAAGATGATGACATGATTGTTATTGAATAAATGAGTAAATTCTTGGTACTGTAGGATTCACAGTTTGTCTGGTTTGTGTTGACAACTACCGTACTTTAATATATAATAAATTCCCTTTATTTTCACTTAACAATAAATGTGTACCATATTCTTCTTCATGGAAAAATAAGACATCCCCTGAAAATAAGACCTAGCGCATCTTTGGGAACAAAAATTAATATAAGACACTGTCTTATTTTCAGGGAAACAGGGTATGTATGACTTAGCAGAGTACTGAAAAAAGACTAAACCTTTAATAGTCACAGACATGAAGAAAAACAAATTGATACCAGAGGCATATAAAGCTCTTGATAATTAAAAAAACCAAAAACATAATTTTCATCACCCTTTGACTCAAACTTCATCTATTCTATAGTGCTATTACCTATAGCTGCCAGGTCACACTGTGCTACGCTTCCATGACTTTGTGTACGCTCTGCCCTCTAGCTAGAATGTGTTGCTATTCTACCATTATTCTGATGCACTATCTATTTTTAAAAACCCTATTCAAGCATCATATCCTTTGTAAGACTTTCAAGGTGCCTTCCCTAACAAAGTAATGCCTCTTGTATACTGCTACTATATTGAAACACACTTCTATGATTGCTTGAATCATGCTATATTCTCCCCTAGAAAATTAGAAATGTACTTATATGCTCAGAGCACAGTGTCTGGCATAAAGCAGACACTCAATAGTGTTCATTGAACTAAACTAGAAATACCTGAGAAACTAGATAGAAAGAAATGAGGACTGAGTGATGTGGAATAATAAGGAGAGGTATAAAAAATAACTCTAGGGCAGTGATTCTTCCAACTGGTGTGCCACAAGAATTTTCCAAACCATGCAGTATCTGACTATTTAGTTAGGGGCATTGACCTCTTTTCCCTTAGATCAGAAGTTCTCACAGTTCTAAAGCTGTGGTTACCCCTAACCATAAAATTATTTTTGTTGCTACTTCATAACTAATTTTGCTACTGTTAATGAATTGTAATGTAAATACCTGTGTTTTCCAATGGTCTTAGGTGACCCTGCTAGAACTGCTGATGTAGAGCCCAAGACCATTAGAAAACACAGATATTTACATTATGATTCATTAACAGTAGCAAAATTATGGTTATGAAGTAGCAACGAAAATAATTTTATGGTTAGGGGTCACCACAACATGAGGAACTGTATTAAAGGGTTGTGGCATTAAAGAAGTTGAGAACCACTGCCTTAGATTGTCATATAAAAAAATGACAATAGCCACCACAATAGCTATTTGGTGTGAATGAATAAAAATCACTTTTTTTTTTTTGGCCATATATATATATATATATATATATATATATATATATATATATAATTTTTAAAAATATATTTTATTGATTTTGTACAGAGAGGAAGGGAGAGAGATAGAGAGTTAGAAACATCAATGAGAACCGAAACCGGTTTGGCTCAATGGATAGAGCATCGGCTTGGGGACTGAAAGGTCCCGGGTTCGATTCCGGTCAAGGGCATGTACCTTGGTTGCGGGCATATCCCCAGTAGGGGGTATGCAAGAGGCAGCTGATTGATGACACTCTCTCATCGATGTTTCTAACTCTCTATTTCTCTCCCTTCCTCTCTGTATAAAATCAATAAAATATAGTTAAAAAAAAAAAAAAAAAAAAAAAAAAAACATCGATGAGAGAGAGCCTCTTGCACACCCCCTACTGGGGATATGCCCGCAACCAAGGTACTTGCCCTTGACCGGAATTGAACCCGGGTCCCTTCAGTCCCCAAGCCGACGCTCTATCCACTGAGCCAAACCGGTTTCGGCAAAAAATATACTTTTTGATGTGCTGCAGATATTTAATAGTTTGTGGCCATGAGATGAAAAGGTTGAAAATCACTGCACTAGGGTTAACAGTCCTAGGTTTAAGATACCTAGAATAATCATACATCCACATGAGAGGGTTTTATTTCTTAGGAACAAAGATCAATCCTTGGCTCTACATTGATGCATGTGTAAAGGCATAAACACTTAGACCCTAGGATGGGATTATCTCTCTTCAAGTTAAAGCTTTCCCCTGGGGTCTATGTCTCTTGGGGTTATATCAGAACTCGCTCCTTGATAATGAATTAGGGGAATAATAAGATATTTCTTTCTTTTTTTTTTCCATGTTAATCTTTTTATTATTATTATTATTATTGATTTTTTACAGAGAGGAAGGAAGAGATATAGAGAGCTAGAAATGTCGATGAGAAAGAAACATTGACCAGCTGCCTCTTGCACACCCCCTACTGGGGATGTGCCCGCAACCAATGTACATGCCCTTAACCGGAATCGAACCTGGGACCTTTCAATCCGCAGATAGACGCTCTACCACTGAGCAAAATCGGTTTCGGCGGAATAATAAGATATTTCTAAAATAATTTAACCAATATAATAAAGATGTATCTCTTATTCTTTCCATTCCACATTTATATTCCTCATTTCTACTAGGAGATTCCCACAAGGCATGGGCCAACTAAATAATGGTATAATTTGTTCTCCCATGCCCATATATACTTAAAATTTCAACACGGTTTTTGGTTAAGGTTTTATGGCCCCTTAACATTCCTCATGTCCCTAAGAAAACTCAACCCTGAAGTAGAATTATTTCATATTAAACATTATCAGTCATTTATTCCTTGATGTAAATGAATGAATGAACATATGTATATGTATTTCCCAAGAGTAGGTTTTGTTTTTAAATGTATTTTTATTGATTTTAGAGAGAAAGGGAGAGTGATATATATAAAAACATCAATGATAAAAGAAAATCAATTGCCAGGAGGGTGCCTCCTGCATACCTCCTGGCAATTGAGCCTACAACCTGGGCATGTGCTCTTGGTCAAAATCTAACCCTGGGCCCTTCAGTCCATAGGCCAATACTCTATCTACTGAGCAAAACTGGCTACGGCTGAGAGTAGGCTTAATAGTAAGAAAAGAAAAGGTCAGGAAGATATTGGCTCCTTTACGGTAATAGAAAATGTGACACCACACAAGAAAAAAAGGGCACAGATAAGTTATTTATGAAATGTGAAAGATTTCAGATTAAGAGGACAGATTTTGAAGCCAGATTATTAGGATTAAGATCTCAGTTTTAGATGATCCCAAATGGCAGTGGAGAAGGTGGAAGGGTGGAAGCTACACTTATCTCCTTTTGGAACCAAACTGGAATTACAGCTAATTTATAGATCAGTTATCCTAAATAACCAACCGAAGACTAGCTGAACAGGAGTCTTAAAACCAAGGATTTACAGAAGAAGCCACATTGAGACTGGTAAAAGGGCAGAGATGTGAAAAGGGCTGGCCTGGCTCAAGGGGTGGTGGCTGAGATTCCAGAAGGATGTATCAGCAGCAAAGTTTCCCATTGAGAAGTATAGGGTCTCACCAAAAGAGGTGTCCCAGGCCAGAGCACCAGAGCCAGGAAGAGGTGTCCATACAGCACCTGGCAGTAAAAATCTGAGGAGATTCTTTTCCCCGAAGAGAGACAAGAATCCACTAGAGACACAAACACTCTCTTAAAGGGCTAACATACAAAATCTTATAGGGAGGCAGATTAGAGTTATGTGAGGAAAGATGGGTTTGTAGCTCTAGGTCGAGCTGAAGAGAAGGCCATGAAGATCACTG